CATCGGATTTAATGAATAGCGAGCGTGTCTATTACACGGTAATTACCGGGTGGTAATACAATAATAGTTTAATCACAACCCTTCAATGTTTGCTTAAAATAGGGTTTCATCTGACGGTGAAAGTTTGCCGACCTTTTCCTCTATCGTCTATCGTGGGCCAACGTGTAATCCACACAATTATTTCCAAAGGATTTTTTTTCCGTAATTTAATTCCTTAATGATCGGTTACACGGGAAATGCTCTTATTAATTTAAATGGAAGAAAATATTCTTTCTCTCGTTTTTCTTTTCTTTTAAATGAAAAATCGCCGGATAGTTTCTCCTTTCGTGCACGCTCGGAAATTGTACATCAAGTAATTTATTTTATTAGCCCTCCTTTTTTTTTTTTTAAAGAAATATTAAACGTGATTACAGTATCGTGATAATCGAATGTTTGTAAAGACATAATATTTCTCAAATTTGTAATTATATCAAAATTGAAGCCAAATTCTTTTTTATCGTTACAATTACAGAAATATGTCTTCGATATTATTTTTGTGACGAAGCAATATTAGCGTTGATTTGATATTAATTTCTTTTACGAGGTGAAAAACTAAATTTCTCATCGTTGAGTTATAATGAATTGGCGACAATTTAAGGCACAACGAATGTGTATCTCGATTTTTATAGTGAAACCGGCCGATACGGTTTCAAGTGGTTTGAGAAGCGCTGAAAAATAACATGTCCAAGTTACGCGCGATGAGAATAAAGCGACGAGAATCAGGTTATTGGGGCCTAATATCCGTCCGTTTCTCTCGCACGGGTCGAGTCGAACCGTTTTCGAATGAAAAAAAGGAAAAAAAAAAAAAAAAGAAGAACGCATTCGGTTTACGAATTCATCGTAGGCACGAATGATGAATCGAGAGTGGAAATTGCGCGTCTGTTATCCGTGATCTTGTTATCGATCCTTTTTCGAACGGTGATTAAAATTGATGAGCGCTTGTGCGGAGAGTCGATTAGAACGGTGAGTCATCCGGAATAGAGATAAGATTGGATGATGCGAAACGAAGGGAAGCTGATTTCGAATCTCGTACGCTTTTATCGCAATCCTTGTATTTTGTGTTTGAAATACGAAGTTAAACAAGTTACATCCGGTAACTTATTTTTTATTATTCGTCCGTTGAACAGATAGTCGAGCAATAGTTGATCACGAGAGAGAGAGAGAGAGAGAGAGAGAGAAC